TTGTGTACAGTGGTAACTCACTGGGCCAGTATTCCTTTCTTAATGGGCTGAACAAGGGACAGTCTTGCAGGACATGTTCTGTAGTCTGCACACATAGCCCACAAGGGCAAAAAGGTGAACTACTTAGACGAAGCCTGTGCATATGCTGGTTAAGTTTGTTATGTCCACATTAGGAAGAGACAATCCACAATCTTTGGTCATGTGATGAGAAGGAGAATATCGTGACAGTAGGAAAGTTGGAGGGGAGGAGAGGCAAAGGGAGACCGAGAGAACAGATGCTGGACAGTTTGACATCATGGTTTGAAGGATCATCTGTGTCAGAGTCGATTGAAAGTACACGAGACAGAAGGTTGTGGATAGACATGATTACCAAAGCCAAACTGCACGGACTTTAAGAAGAAGAATGTAGGTATGCTATGAAGTTTACTCGCAGCCATGGATTGTTTCTGAGAAAAATGCAAAAAATTTCACAGAAGAACAGAAAAAACTCAAAAGTAGTCGTTCTCGAGGGAGTAGAAAAATTATTAAAAAATATTGAAAATATACAGTTATGTTATGAGAAGGAAAGGACTCGAGAACTTGGTGATTGCTGGCAAAATTGTTGCAAAAAGAGAAAGGGGAGTACAAAGAGAAAAATATCTGGGTGGCTTCGTCATACAGTTAGGGTGAGACAAGAGCATTGACCTCATCCATGAGTCTGGTGAGCATGACAGCCTACATATACTGGTGGCACATGATGATGGTTGTGTCTGTGCTGATGGCAGTGGTTGTGGCGATGGAGGTGATGGTTGTGGTGATAGTAGTGGTTCTGACGGTGGTGGTGGTGATGATGTGGAGCTGTACAATGTTTAGATATCCTCACACTATAGACAGTCACAAAAACAAATCAGAAGCTGTAAGTGCAGAAGATCCGAACCCATTACCCTCAAACAACAAACTCACTTGACCAAATCTGAGTTGACAGAGCTCAGGATGCTGGTCCCCAGAGAGTCCGAACTGGCTTCACTCTCCTCTGAGGTGGCTGTGGTAGTAGAGCTCAGCAATGAGTCCGCCTGCTGGGGAAGACAGAAAGAAGTTACTCAAATACTCATGTATGAGGTGATGGCTTTCAAACAGCAGCGAGGACAGAAACCAATAGGATAATTTAATGGAGAAAACAATGGAAAGATTTAAAGGGTGAAATATAGGGACAATTGTTAGGTTAAAACACTGAGACAATTTGATAGTGAAAACATCAAGACCCTTTATTGGGTAAAAACAATGTTTCAATTTACTGGGTGAAAATACCAGAAGAATTTACTGGCGAAAACATTGGGACAATTTACTGGGTGAAAAAAAGGGACAAATTATTTGGTGAAAACATATATCCAACAGGTGATTGATACTTTGGTTTATTCAGACTCAGAGGAGTCAGAATTTTCCGAAGAATACGTTTCCAGTTGAAGTGACACAGTCAGAGAGAGCTTCAGTGATGAGGAGAATCTGGAAAATTGTAGATTTAGAACTGGATCGATAGTAGGAGAAGGGGGCGTGACCCTCAAACAGCAACATTTCACTTTGTGAAACAAGGCTGATCCTGCCGGGTGGATTGGCATACAAAGGTGGATTATTAGCGCTAGATGAAAGGTAAACCTATTTTTTATAATGTCTCCAAGTTTCATCCTTATCTAACCATTTATTTGCAAGTAACTAAAATTTGTGTATACCATGTGTCGCGTGCGAATGAGCACCAGAACGCACCAGTACGGAGTGAGCAAATAAGACGTCAAAACAATACGTAACGTTGTGAAGGATTGTTGTCAAAGGCAGTCGATGTTTATAGTCCGAAGGAGACGGACGTGTGGATCCTTGAGGACGTTTTACCCCGGGATCCCACGGAAGCAAACGTTATATGAAGTTGGATCCTTGAGGACGTTTTACCCCGGGATTCCAAGATAGACCTCAGCAGGAAGCTGGTGAACACTACATTCTCGGCAGTAAGCCGGTATACTTTCATTGCTTAATTCGGACTTGTCCGAGGACAAAGATAATCGTCTGGATCTCAAGGTCGGACTGCGACCTATCGTGAGGACATATCAATACATGTATGTACGAGCGAGCTTTGGTTGAGCGAGTGTGAGTTGTTGCTTACATATTTTCTCATTGTGTCGATTATCGATATTGTCAATACACAAATGGAACTTTTAAAGAGAGTTCTCGTTCTGCTACGTTGGAAGCTTCAGCATTCATCATGTTGTGTTACTCTTGGCCAGTGGCATGTTAAGTGTTGATGCCATTTGTTACATTGCGATACCCCTAGTCACTTTTACACTCGTCACAATGAAGCTCTGCACGTCACACCATGTTGATTTGTTCGTGTTGATGCCCAGGAGCTCAGGTATAAGGGGCAGTTAGTTTCAGATCCTCAGGTCCGGCAGGGTTAAAGTGCAACACAGACAGTGACAAAAGAAGAAGAAAAATGTGTAATGAACTGTAAACACAAACCTTGACAGGCGGAGGTTTCAGAGGTAGTCTCCCCTGCAACATGTAGCAGATGCACTTCGCCGCCAGCTCCTTCTCCGGATCCTCGTCAGTTTTCAGATCGAAACTTTCACCCCGACAGAAAATTCGGATGCTCTTCTCTTTGACGTCAAAATCTTTGGGATTTTCATCCGACTTGTTGTCTATCAGCTTATCTCCCCTCAGGTGCTGGTTTTCTGCCTGAAATCGTCAAATGTGATCTGAGTTGAGATAGGGGCAATAACCACTGAAATAATTTGTTCTTACAATTGTCTCTTCTACCCCAGGGTGGACAGGAACCTTCTGGTTCCCACCCTAGGGTGAAGAGGCAATGTCCAGTTATGGTCAGTCTCTCTCTCTCTTTCTTGTTGTACCCCACCAGAACATCACACAAGCGATACACACCCGTTGACACAAAGTGCCACCATGCGGATGAGGATCACCCACGGAGAGGTCCTAGAAACCGCGTTTAGCTGTTAGGTCATTTTTATGTCCCGGCTATATCAGAGTGCCAGCTATGTAACTACCCCTACAAAACTGTTGACCATCATCTCTTTGAGTGCCCAAAACTCAGTGAGACAAGAAGAACGCTACTCCCTCCGAGACCAGACAAGTGGAACACCTTGTACGAAGGAAAAGAACAGCGTGTGAAAACATGCAAACTCCACTACATGGAACTGGGCCAAAGGGCGAAAGCTCATGCGCCGCTGGATCGATAACAACAACATATCAGGGCCCCTGTTAAAAGCTAGGGTGGGGCTTCAAATAACTAAAAACTGAATCCCACGTTGGGGATGACTATTATATAATGGTCAGTCTCTTTTCTGTCCACTGGGTGGCTTGTATTGCTTGACCAGACAGATTAGGAGCAAATCATGGATTTTCTGTCCAGGATATTCAGGTGTGCGAGGCAACAAGCAGGCTGATCGACTAGCTGCTGCTGCTCCTATGGGTGGTTTGAGGTTTGAACAGCGGATCAACATCCTGGCACACGGTTAGTAACCCACAAGTGCTCCGTTCTTCTTTAAACTCAAGTCTGAGTCCGAAGAAGCTCAGCACAGTGCACAGGCTCTGTAACACCGGCGAGGATCCTGAAATACTTTTGGGTAAATTTTAAACTCCACATTTTACCCGGGCAGCGCGTTAGGATTTTTTACATGTGCAACAATACAAACGGGCGTCCGATCTCACTACCTTGAGACCAGGGTGAATTACTAGAAGTCTAAGTCCACGTGAAAAAATCCCAGCTTTTACCGGGAAGTGAACCCGGAACCTCTAGCACTCGAGGCCAACACCATGCTCGAGACCACGCCCCCCCCCCCCATTCAGGTGTGCAGGGTAATGAGCGGGCTGATAGACTGGTTGCTGCAGCTCCTATAGGTGTGAGTTACTTTATAACAAAGCAGATGTGGTGTAGACTCTCTGTGATGAAATGGGCACACTGACAGACTAACTCAATGGTGGAGGAAAAGGGTCTGGAAGATACTGAACTCTGAGGGGAAAACACAAGCAAACTTGTATGAGGTTGCACCTAAAGTGAATCTTATCAGGAGGCACCTAAAGTGAATCTTATCAGGAGGCACCTAAAGTGAATCTTATCAGGAGGCACCTAAAGTGAATCTTATCAGGAGGCGCCTAAAGTGAATCTTATCAGAACTATTTTTTGGCCAACACGATGCTATCAGTGCCAAGCGTTGACACTTACATCCTCCAAAAAATATAAAATTGTGACAACGGAGATGAAATGCCTTAGAAGAGCTGCAGGAGTTTCAAGGAGACAGAATATGAAATATTGAAATAAACAAATGCTAGGAATAAAGCCAATCTTACAAGTCATCAAAGAACAACACATCAAGTGGTTTGGACACCTAACAAGAATGCTCTGGTACTATCCGCCACAGCGAGCCACACTAAAACGTTACAATGGGTATAGAGCGAGTGGAAGACCTCGGAAAATATGGAGTGATGGCATTAAAAACAGCCTTACAGAAATGAACATCAGTCTTAATAGTGCTCTTGACAGAGCTCATCAACAAATGTTACATCTCCCCCTGACACTTCGATGAGGTACAAGGTGGAAGAGAAGAAGAAGAAGAAGAAGCACCTGGTACTATATTAGCAAATCCACTCTTCAATGGCTACTGAGGAAGAAGACGGAGCATGTGCTGTAATGTCCTGAGTGCAAGGGTGTCAGTTCTTGATTCATTCATTTTCCACTTATCTGGGATAAAGAAATACTTTAAAATTATGTTTCCGTTTTTGCTTCAGGTGACTGGTCGAAAAAAATCCCCTATCATCCATTGCGTCCCATAAACAAGCAAGATGCATTTCAAATTATTTACACTTCAACACAAAATTTAAAATCTGAGAATCAGCCATGTGCACATGTAGATTGGCACCTAAGACAACAGATCATGTCCTCCAAGACTGTCCCAAATACAACATATCAAAGCAAAACTTTTGGCCAAGAGAAACATCGGTGCAGGTCAAACTTTATGGGTCGCTGAGTAAATTACAAAGGACAGTGAAGTTCATACTAGAGACAACACTGCAGATATTCATAATCTATTTCAAGCGAATGAAAGAAGAAGAAAAAGAAGAATTTACACTTCAGCCAACCTTAGATTATTGAGATTTGTGGAAGCGACTGCTATAAACCGGTTTAGTCCAGAATTATGCAGACAAAAGGACATGCTGTTCACCTTGAGGTTACCCTGGTGAACTAGACAGTTTTTAATATAGCCGATTTTATGTTTCAGTTCAAAGGATTCATTTATTTGCTTCATGTTAATCAACTGTTACTGTAGTATGCACCTGACGAGATACAACGAAATATGCCAGGCAGTGAATTGTGCAATCTATTGTTTGTGTCTTCTTTGTTCAAATTCACAATGGGGAAATATTACTTTAATTTCAATTCTGTTTTTTATTCTACGTTTTATTCTCTTCTTCTTTCTTTGTGTTCACTGGCTGTAAACTCCGGTGAAAGGTTCTGTTGTCCGTCCACAAGTCTTGTTCCGGAACTTGAGTTTTGTGTGATCTGCCTTATATCTGTATGCTGATTATTGGTTCCTGATCTCTCAGAGGCCTGACTTTAAAGGAAACATCCCTAAGTGGTCAACTCTTACAACATGCTTGTTAGGGGTCAGTGGGTCAACCCCCCCCCCCCCCCCCCCCCCCTCCATAATGGGGCCCTACAACCCACATAGAAACAGATGTACCTTATGGGAAATGTTTAACCTTTTCTCTTCTGCCTTAGGGTGTATAGGGATCCTCTGATTATTGTTGTCTTTTTTTGTTTGTTTGTTTCGTTTCTACTGACCTGGGATTCAGAAATACCTAATAATTTTGTTTCTATGTACTGTTCCTCTTGGGGTAAATAGGTACCTGAAGGGTGGTGTCCTCTCCTCTTCTGTCTTATGGTGTTGAGGCACTGTCCAGCAGTAAATGTGGACGTATGAATGACAGTGAGTGCACACCCAAAAAAAAAAAGATAAGGAGGTAGATAAAGCAGAAGCATGAGAAGAAAGAGAAGGAGGAGGATGAAGATGAAGAGGAAAAAGAGAAATAGAAAAAGAAGAATGAGAAGTAGACAGTAGTGGTGGTTGTGGACCAGTAGAAGATGCAAAAGACCGAATTCCACATCTTTAGGCATGTTGGGCATATAGGGCTAGACCTATATTTTATAGACCAATCAACACTCCGTTGCTCATGCAGCCTTCTTCTTCTTCTCTGTTCACTGGCTGTAAGCTCTGGCGGAAAGTCCTGACTGTTTATCCCTTTTGACTTTAGCTTTGTGCCAGGGCCTGAGTTTTGCGTGTACATCTGTTTTACTGGCTTATTTATGTGCAGTTGGTTGTTTCTTGCCGCTGGGGCAGATGCACTCCGAAGGAAGTCCCAAGTTAGCCGACTCCTAGGACATGCTTGTTGGGGAGGCAATGGTTCTATTCTTCTTGGCCCCACATTGGGGCTGGATCCATGGGTGTGGGGGTGATGTGCTCAACTCCAGCCACCTTTACTTCCCCGGACTTTATTGGTCCCCATTGAAGGCTAGGTTGACCTGGAGGCCAAGGTCATTTTTGAAAAAAGGAAAGTCAAGAAGGAGAGAGGAAGTGTATGGGAAGTAACCAGCTGATAGGGAAGCCAGCACACACCTTTGCCTGCCTGTTGACAATCTCCTTGTCCAGTTTACTCAGCTCAGAATCCTTGTTGTGCTCAGCCAGTTTCTCCCGCAGCAGTAGCACATGTCTGGTCTTCTCCACCTGCGACAGACAATCATGGACAACATTGTCACTCAAGCACAAAGACAATCATGGACGACATTGTCACTCAAGCACAAACATGGACAACACAGTCAATCAAGCAGTCAATCAATTTGCATATGTAAGCCTTAGCATATAATGACTGCAGCTGACAGGGTATCACGTGACAACGTCCTCCTTGTCCCTTCACTGTCAAGAGAACATGCACGCAACTAGCATCGGAGTACTGGGAACTGGTAGCTTTCACATGTTGCTGTTTCTTTATATGTAGCATAAGCATGCAGTGGGGGTTCTTTTCGCTAAGTTAATATACTTAACAAGCATTTGTGCTTACTTTATCTACTTCTGTTACTTACTATATCTATTTTTGTTAATGTATCACCTAAACTTATCTACTTCTTCTGTTAGCGTATTATCTACACTATATCTTCTTTTGTTAATGTATCCTCTGAACTATATCTACTTCTATTAACATTTCTAAACTATATCTACTTCTGTTAATATATCATCTAAACTATACCTACTTCTGTTAATATATCATCAAAACTATATCTACTTCTATTAATGTATCATATAAACTATATCTACTTCTGTTAACATATAATCTAAACTATATCTACTTTTGCTGACATATAATCTGAACTCTATCGATATAACATATAATTTGAACTCTACATCTGTTAACACATAATCTAAACTATGCTTCTGTTGACACTAAA